TTGTTTATTACTTATTATGTAAATAGATTATTGTTATTACTTATTATATAAATAAGTGATTTATCAATAAAAATATTTTATATCCAGAATTGCAATTGCAATTGAATTGAATATAAACTATAACTGATCATAATAATATATTTAAATGACATATGTTACGGTATAGTTAAATTATAGATGGTATACTAATAAAAGGTATATTAAAAATTAAAACCATTGGCTTTACAGAATAAAAAATTAGATATGATATCGGATCGGTAATCGGCCGATATCGACTTAATACCGGGAATATCGGATCGGATCGGCCTCCAAAAAGTGGTATCGGTACACCCCTAGTTATAATGTGCCTTTTTAAAATTAAATAAGTTTGAAATGTAATATCAAACGATATGTAAATTAATAAAATATAATCATTTTTAAATTCTTATTTTAAAAATTTTATTGTCTGCCATTGAGAAATAAAAATAAGGGAAAATTAAAAAGAATTATCAAAAATGAGAAGAAAATAAAATTGAGAAAAGATCAGAAAAATAAAGATTAAAAATGACTTAAAGAGATTGAAAAAGTTAGAAATGTATGTAAAAGATAACAATATAAGGTGAAAAAATCAAGTCAAAATATTGTTATGTATGATGAAAAAAAAGGAAAGAATTGTTAAAAAAATGGTGTAGAGACGTGAAGAAAAATAACAGTGAAAATTTATAAATTATTTTTAAAAAGACAAAAGAATTATCAAAAATGAGAAGAAAAATAAATTGAGAATAGATAGTAAGAAAAATAAAGTAAAGAAATCGCAAAAAGTTAAAAATAAAATAAGAAAAAATAATAAATAAAAAAGTTAAGAAAAATTGACAAAAGAGGAAAAGGTTCAATCAAAAAAAGAAAAGTGTCAAACAGAAAAGGTCCAATCAAAAAGGAAAATTCCCAAAACAAGGAAAAATGTCATTCAAAAAACTTTTTCCTTTTGTTTGACACTTTTCCTTTTTTGATCGGACTTTTTTCTAAACCTTTAGGACATTTTTTTTGATTGACACTTTTCCTTCTTTGATTGGGCCTTTTCCTTTTTTGATTGAACTTTTTCCTTTTATGATTGATCCTTTTACTTTTAAGATTGAAGCTTTCCTTTTTTGATTAGGACTTTTCCTTTTTTGAATGGAAAACCCTGTATTATTATCATTATTAACCTTTTTAATTATATTTATATTATCATGTTCATCTATAACTGATCCATTGTTGATTCATCTTTTTGTTCTTTATTGCTGTTTCTACCACAGTAGCTATTTGATTTGAATAGCTTTATTTATATCTAAATTATCCTCGGATAATAATCTTTGTAATATTTTAGAATTTTTTAGTTCAAATATGAATATATCTCTTAAAGTAGTATTCAAATATTCCCCAAATTCAGTCGCTGATAATTTTCGAAGATTCTGTATATAGTCTATTAATTTTTCCTCATTTTTTTGACTGATAAAAATTATATCTCTCTACAATTATATTATCATATTTCTCTTCTAACTGATCAAATGCAGTTTCATCTCTAGCTGCTTCTAAGTAACAGAATCTTCGAAAATTATTAGTGACTGGTGAATTTGAAGAATATTTGAATACTGCTTTAAGAAATAAATTCAAATTTGGACAAAAAAATCGTAAAATATTACAAAGAGTATTATATCCGAGGATGATTTAGATATAAATATGGATATTCAAATAGCTACTGGGGTAGAAACGCTATAAAAAAGACAAAACTAATACAAAAAGATAAAACTACAATTGATCAGTTAGGAGATGAACATGATAATATAAATACAATTAAAAAAGTTAATAATAAACAATTTAATTCATCACACTTCTCTTTTGATTTTTCTTAGTGATATAAAATTAATAAAATGAACAAAAATTCAATTTATTTGTAATATATATTTGTTATTGCAAAAAAAGGATTTAAAAATATTCAACGAGTCACAATCAGCCGTAAACATTGCCCACAAGATATGATGATCTTTTATGAGCATAAAAAACCATAATATTCTTAATCATTCCTTATAATACGCCAAATATCGTCTTGACCATAAAAAACGGAAAATTTTAGTATTTTGTGTATAGTATATACTTTTGACATATATCATGATTTTTTTTATATTAGTAAAAAAAAAATAATAAAAATATCGGATTGTGTATTTATCAGCATTGAAAAAGATCGGATCGGTAAAAAAAATTGTGGACCGGCACAGTTCTATAAATCAGCCAAAATTATTCAAAATAGTGCCAAAAAAATGAACCCCGATAATTTTTTTCGAATCCTGGTCGGGCTTAAAATTTCAACCCCTACAAATCTATGATATTTATTGAAAAAAGCATAAATTATTATTTTAATTTATAATTAATTTATGCCAAAATAAGTGGCCTAAAGGAAGATCTTAAGCAGAGAATACCCATTCAAATATTAAAGAGCAACTTTATCAGTTCAAATGACTAGATTTTCATATTTTTTATCCCTTATATTATTCGTTTTTTTCTATAAATTACTATTTATTTATATTTAATTTTTATTATTTTGAAATTTATATTATATGTCGACTAAATTAAAAGTAAAAAGAAATAAATTAACACTTTTCTTTCATTTATAGGTTTAGAAATTGGTATATGATAAAATATATTCTTAGCTTAATGTAGTACAAAAATATTCTTTAATTTATATTAATTATCATTGAGGGTTGACCATTGGTACCGGTTAAAATTGAAAATATCGGTCAATATTGTGGATATCTTACTTGCATTTCTAGTTATTTTATTCAGAAAAGGTTATAGAAAATAATCCATGTCTAAAAATATAAAATCAGATGACCCGTAAAAACAACATTATAATGGATTGCAAGATTTGTAATACAAAATAATTTTCAATAACCTCTATTTGTTCGTTTGAGAGGTATTAACTTGAAAATAAAATCCTCTAAATTTAGGGTTAATTCTTTCTTAACATTATATTTTTGTATATAAATATTAGAATTTAAAGATTTTGTCAATATACTCCAATTATTTTTTTTACCATCCTTAGTTTACTAGCAAGGCCTATTAAATCCCTTTACTCGAAATTCCAACGGAAATAAAGTTAAAATTTCAATAGTGTAAAAAATAAATGATAATATTTTAAAAAATTGAGATCATCAAATAAACTAATATCGACTAAATCTTACTTTAAGATATGGACTAACTAAAATATTTCTCCATCCGTCAATAAATTTAAATTATTTATTAAACTGAAGAAATAAGTATAGAATATGGGATGTTGGTGAATAGTAACCAAATGAAGCAAGAGTATTCAAATTAGATAAGAAGTTAGGGGAGATGTGCTATAAATGGCCAAGTTTAAAGACTGGCCACCACCCTATAACTTTTTATCTATTGAGCAGATTTCTCTCAATGATCAAAATGTGTATATTTATTATATGTACCTCACCTAAGTTAATTTATTTAGAGCACCAATAAAAATATTTTAAATAAACTGTTTTTAGTATCGCTTTCTGGAAAAATCACATTACACATTATTTTGTTTGGTGAAAAAATTACTAATTTAGATTACTGATATTATATATAAATATTATCCTTAGACATTTAGCAAAATTCACACAAAAAAATTAAAACTTACAAGTTTTATTTATTAGACATATAAAGATGCTGAATAATAATAGACAGGTGAGTATTGTCTGGCCAAAATTCATACATTCACCCATTCATATTGAAATGAAAGGCTTGAGCAAAACAATGGTTAATTTTATATTGAAATAAGAATGTAAAAGATAATTAAGATATTAATTTATAAAATATTCTCATTAAATAGATTATGATAAATTGAAACGTATACTAATTAAATTGGTTTAATTAATTTTTTATACAATGGAGAAATATTAACATAGGCCATTTACAAGTATTTCCTATTGTAATATTTCATATTTATAAATAAATACTTAATATATAATGACCATTTAACACATAGTATATGGCCAGTTAATACATACAATATTTTATTGGCCAGAAAAATAATTTTTACATAACCTCATCTAGCTCATAAACTATTATAGAGCTTTGATTCAAATTTTATTTGGTAGATTAAGAATAGGGCTACACATTGATATATTGTTAAATTAAAACCAAATCTTAATGCCTTTTTTTTGAAAAAAGCAAAAACATGGCCATATATGGCCCATCTCCCCTATGTTAGATCGGTTTCTGAGATTGACGGCTCGTGACAAATCGACCGAACGAGATTTTGACTATCATCTTGAGAACGAATAAAAAACCTAATAATTATTAAGTGGTTCCATCAAAATTTGACAGCTCTAACTAGAATCCAGAGTTTTAGCTCTCAAAGTTCAATACAGTTGCGATCTTGGTTTTAATAATCTTATCTCGATAAATATTTAGTCAAAATGCAAAAATCATATATCATTTAGTAGCCCTTACTGATGGATTTTATATATGCTATAATCAAGGTTCCTTATAAAAAAATTAATCCTAGATAAAAATATAGATGAAGAAAATATAAAATTTTTTAAAAGATGTTTCCAGTATTCGCTTTATTTCCTATAAAACAAAAATGAGTAATTTTGAACTAGCTCCAATTTGGGACGATGAAACTCCTTAGATAGGTTTATTACCACTACATTCAAATATTTAAGTAATAATTAAAATGGAGGAAAAAAGAATTTAATTTTTGTTTTTCATAAACTTTGGAATAAATAAACTAAATATAGAGTAATACACACTGTTTTATGTTAATGTCAATTTTATCAAAAGATAATTATTCATAACAAACATGTACAAATGATAGATAATCATAGCTGTAACATGTAAAGATATACTGTTAAACTAAGATGTAATGAATGGTACATTATAATCATCTATCTTTAAATAATGATATTATTAAAGTGTACTGAAAAATGTGAAGATTAAAATTCAAAATAAAAAATTAATCATTAAAAAACATTACTAAAAAAAACCTGTGTACATCCTTCTTCATCAAAAGTGGTATCATTAGCGGACCAACAGCATTGTTCTCGGTTGAACCAAAATGCATCTCTGCAAAGGCCAGTTTTTAGGTCTGTTAACCAACTCGATCCTATGTCTATGAAACCAGCGAATAAACCTTAGATTACATGCATGGCATGTTATTTTAAAATGTAATAAACATTAAAATGTTTGTAAATTAATAATAATTGTTTTAAATAAAAAAAATTTTGAATAGTTTTAAAAGGTAAGATAAATTAAATAGTTTCTTATTATAATTAAGTATTTTAATTTAATAATTCATTCTTAAATTTTTTTTTATTTTGATAAATCTAAGTTTTTTTTATATTTGACAACAACATTTAAATTAGGGTTGTGCCAATCCAAAAGTTTTTTGTTGATCCAATCTGATATTCACAAAATGGATAGGATAACAGATACTAAATATTTAGATTGATATTCATTTACCAACTATTTCTGAATCGATATAATAAAAAAATCATTATCTTATATGTAAGAAAAAATAATTAACTTTAAGCTCTGGGCAAAAAAAGAAGATAAACTTAAATTTTTAGTTTCTCATGGCCAAGATGATATTTCATACATTAACTTATTAAATACTTAAGTGTAGTTTTGTTCCATTCCCCCAAAATTAATCATTATTTAAAATATGGGAAATGTTTTTGGGTGAATATGATTCATTAACTATTTTTTAAATGTGTTCTTGTTGCGAATAATAAACAATAAAAAAAAATCTCACGTTTTTAGCTTACTCTTTCTTATAAAATTACTTAATTTTTTAAACAACGCAAATAAATGAAATTTTAATGGCTTTTATTCATTTATTATTATTAGGAAATTAATAAAATAAAAATTATATATGCAATCATAAAATAATGAAAAACAGTTATTATATGACATCAGTTTTTTTTGAAAATATTAGCCCAATCCATTATTTTTTAATAAAGCTTATATCAACATAGCCCTAATTTAAATATATAAAATATAAATGGTATTAACATAAATTGATTTGTGACAAACTGGCCATAAGAGGTTCTTGCAAAAAAAAATCAGGCTAAAACTCTTTATTAATAACCAATTTACAAAACTCAAATAATATTAGTAAATAAGAAATTCAATAATAATTTGGTTTTAATAAATCTGTGGAATTTTTATGGGGACTATAGTGATGAGTTGATTGGGAAGCCCTCCTAACATGTACTGCACAATAAAAAAGTCTTTAATAAGAATAATTTAGGAGGATTTCTAATAAAACCACATAAATAGTTGTTTGCTAATTTATTAATTTATAATAAAATAAACAAATAAATATAATTAAAACCAGCAGTTAATCCCACAAAAAATAAGCAAAGCCATCCGGACCAGGCATCATGGGTTATGAGTATGGTTGATATAATATTTCTTAAACTTGAAGATTTGATCTTGTCATTTTTTGAATACTGATTATAAAGGTTATAATTATCACCATTCTTAGATCGTATAGCTCTTCTTCTTTTCCTGTCTCTTGCAAGATCCCTTTGCCAATCAATGGTTTGAAAATCATCATATTTGCTTATAAAATCTTAATTACAATATAAAAAATTAATTGTTACCTAATATCCTATTTTTTAAAGATATTATAATAATTATACAGGTTTATTAATTAGTTAAAATAATTTAAGAAAACTATGTCAATAAAATATTTGATTTTGCCCAATGATTAGTAGAAAAAGTAGCCTAACTATAGTAATTTATAAGGTAGGCAAAAAATAATTATGGTCAATTATTTAATGTTTATACCTTTATTAAAAGTGTTATCCATATGAATATGAAATGACCCGTTTCTCATATTTTCATTAAAAGGCCGAGTATTATTATTAGAAATTTCCTCAACTTCGTTCACTGCAGACTCCAATATATCTTCATCATCGGGATAAGTATAATAATTTAAATCTTTATCATTAATGGGTAAGGTCGTCATATGAATCAAATGCTATCCTTAAAAAAGAAAACATAATTTTGAGAATTTTAATATTTTTATTAGCATTATGTGCAAATAATCGAAACATAAATCCTTAAACAATTTGATTGGTTAGAAAAGGGCATAATACAGATGCAAATTAAAATGGGAAATTGGAAAATCATACAATTTTCATATACAGAGCATATAAATATAATTCTCTGTCTTAAGCTGTTTTTTGTTATTATTCGTAGAGCTTCAATTGACCTTTTTGTAATAGTATGGTTTACCATTGAAAATACGGTACTTTAGCATGCTTCGGAACAGGGGCGGACTGGCCATAAGACCAGGTAGGCATTTTGCCCACGAGGCCGCGAGAAATGTCGATTTTTGAGGCCGATCAGAGGAAAATATCAAAAAAGAGGCCGGTTAGAAAAAAAAATATATTATTTGGTTCACATTATTAACTATTATCATTTATTTATTTTTAATGATATCTCTATGATTTGAATATCACATTCCTTGACAATTGTCATGTCGTTTACTATAATTTAATGCATAAAATACCAGTAACGTCGCTTGACGCTATACATCATTACCTCGTTTTTTCTTTGCTTTTTTTTCAAATGAAGTAAAAACGCTTCCGTCTGAGTGGAGTGAAAGCTAAGTTTTGATTAATTAATTATATTACATTTTTATACATTGATTTATTGTAGAAATAATATAGGCAACATTTCTTGTTCTTAATTCATTGAAATCAAATAAAATCCAGGTCGGTGAATCAGATTAAAGGATGGATGCTTGGGTGTAACAGAATAATTCATCTGGCCAAAATAAGTTGAGAAAGCTGCAAAAAATTTCTCGATCTAGAAAAGGCCTTCGATAGAATCCCAGAGAACTTATCTGGTGGGCGCTACGCCACAAAAGGTTCGCGAAAAATATATAAGAATAATACAGGATATGTATATGGGCCATACAACAATGGTCCGTAGCACAACAGGTACTTCAGCAGGCTTCACAATAGCCGAAGGAATTCATCAAGGATCGGTTCTCAGCCCACTTCTCTTCATTACAGTAATAGATGTATTAGCACAATCTATACCTCAAACAGTCCCGTGGAATATGATATTTGCAGATGATATTGTGATACTTGCCGAATCTAAGGATGAAATGAAAGAAAGGTTAGTGAATTGGATACATATCCTAAAAAAAGCACGGACTAAAAGTAAATAGAGAAATGACGGAATATATGGTGATAGGAGGAGATGAAACAGAGAGTATTGATATAAATGAATGGCAGATATCGGCAATTGAAAGCTGCAAATATTTGGGCTCCACTATACAAACAAACGGCAAAAAGAGATAAAGAGTAAAATTAATCAAGGGTGGTTAAAAGTGCTATTTGACAAAAGAATCCCACACAAATTAAAGGGAAAAATTTACAGTTCCATAATACAACCAACTATTCTATATAGTTCGGAAACATGGCCAACCAAGGAATCAGACGAGAGAAGTCTACAAACTATGGAGATGAGAATGCTGAGGATGATTGCTGGGGTAACAAGAAAGGATAAAGTGAGCAGTACAAGAATACTAAGTAGTTTAAAGGTAGACTAAGTTAATGGTAAACAGACTTAAGCGGTATGGGCACACAATGAGAAGGCCTATGAACTACATAGGAAATAAGGTTGAGAGCTTGGAAGTGATGAGCAAACGTAAAAGAGGAAGGCCAAAACTTCAATGGGGCCATAAAGTTAGAGCCAATATAAAGAAGTATAAATTAGATAAAAGAGATTGTATGAATAACATAAAGTGGAGAGAGATGTTGAAGGAGCTTACCACCAGAAAAGGTGAAAGCTAAAGAGAAAAAAAAGAAAAAAGAAGGAAATTATGTCAGTTTCTAAAGGAAGGGGATGCCAGAAAAATAATTTAATGATATACCCCCTTTTAAAATTTTTAACTATTTAAAATTTAGATTGCAAATCTTATATTGCTGAGGATATTCAGCAGATAGAATAATTTTTAATTTCCTCTTAAAATGTGTGGAAAATCCTATGAGGTTGGGAAGTATGATTTCAGGATTTCTATCTTGAAGAAATAAATAGTAAAGATATATATATTGCGTGTTAAATTACGTAACGAATAATGTTCATTTGCCAGTGTATTCAAAGATATGGTAGCAGAATAAATGAAACGGAAGATGATCGTATGAACAAGTGAGGAGTCAAATGAAGAAGAAGGAATATTACAATATCATAATAATTCAGAGTGTGATAATAAGTGTAACAAATGTTTAATATGCGCGTATGAAATTTTTAAAAGATGTAATATGCATACAAGTGACACTAATTTATTGGCATATGAATACATTTTAACTTTGTCATTTACGCAAATTAATTGCGAGAAAACATTTAGTAAATTAAAAATTATAAAAATAAGCTGAGATCTAATATTGACCAAAAAAAATTAGAAGCGTTTTTAATGATGTCAGTTGAATGAGAACCATTGGCGCAGATTGAACTAGAAGATATTCCTGTATATTTGCGTAAAGGTTCAAAATTAATGAGAGATTTATTAACGTAAAAATTATATATTTCCTTAATTCTTTTATTTGAATATTATTAATATCTATTCACAATATGATCGGTGCCTGATTTTATAAGTGCAGCAATTTTATACGCTGTAATATTGTATAACTGCAATAATTATATGTGTAAAATTAATAGATTTGATATATTAAGTATGTATTTTTTTATATTTAACATGTGATGTATGATTTGATTTCATAGTGCAATATCGTTATAAATCTAATATAAAAAAATATATATGTGCAATGAATATTATTTTATATTGGTAGTGAATATGATTTTAGATGTGCATTTTTTAAAAATAAATTATAAATACTATTCTTTTATTTACTAAAAATGTAAATCTTTTGAACTTATTTTCAAAAATAAGAAGTAATAAAAATCATGTAAATCGAAGAAGCCATATAAGGGAAGGGGGCGAAGCCCCCATATAAATGAGGCCGCTATAAAAAAATGCCCACGAGGCCGTAGCGTCGCCAGTCCGCCCCTGCTTCGGAATACAGGTAAAATATTAATGGTAAAATTTTGCAAAAGTTAAACTTAAGTAATAAACAAAAACAATAATTATAAAATGTAGTAAATTAGTCTATTATATAATATATCAGATATGTACAGTTGTAAGTATAATTTTTTGTTTCATAATTATATAGGGTATCCATATCGCTTGATGGTAAGTTCATTATCATGAATGCAATTCTGGTTGCATTTTTACAATCTTTAGTAATTTTTTTTATAAATATTAGGGAATTTATATAATTATTCTTATGTTAATTAAGTCATTATAGATATAATAAGTATTAGTATAAAAGACTTAAAAACTCAATTTATATTAAAAATATCTTAAATTTATAAATAAATTAGAAGAAAAAATTAATAAATTTACATTATGATATAAATGCTGGTAGTGTTGTTAATTGGCTAAGTCAGTCAAGTTTTGGGTCGCAAAATTCTCAAATAAAGTTTATTTTGAATCGACCATATATTATTATCTACTCAAGGATGAAAATATTAAAAAAAATAGTTAACTATGGTTTGAGAATTTATATTTTTAAATTTGAAAGAATGCTATTATTCATATAGAAAGGCCTGATAATATCAAGAAAGATTTAATTCAAAGTCTACAAAATCAAACTTTTTTTTAAAATACAATTAAAACTAATCTTTTCCATTTTTTTTAATATTTTAATATTAAAATAAATATAATATGTTAAAAGTAACAATGTTTATTAATGGATTTTGTATTATAGAAGACTTAAGGCTTAAAACGATATATTATATTATATTTAATATTAAATTGATGTTTTGAAAAGTTATACAATGATTTTTATTAAATATTAAATTGATGTTAATTTTGTATATATATACTTATATGATCATGATTACTTTTACCTTTTGTTTTTTTGATCTTAGTTGAAAATAAAGAACTTAATTATTACTATTCCTAATCTTCACGGATTCCACATTCTACAATTTATTCTATATTATTTATTTTTGTTCATTAAAATATATTTTAAAAAAATCCTACCCAGGCCTGATTAAAAAAAATCTATTTTTAATAATAAATTTTGAATTTATTTTTATATTAAAACAAATAAGGGATTGGTTTTGTTTTTATTTTAAGTTTTTATTTATAACAACGAAAAATATTGTGATGTTTCTTTTAATCTTTGCGATTTTTAAAAAAAATATGAAACAAAATAATAATAAAGAAAAAGTAAAATAAAAGTAATTAATATTTGTTTCCTTCATCAAGGCAGGGCAGGGGAGGGAGAAAATAAATAATATATAAATATAAAATTTTAAAAAATCGTCTGGGCATATAATAACTATTTTCACTTTTTAATATCAATAATATAACTATTTATTAAAATAATATTAAATTATAATTAATATACTATTTCTATTAGTGATCTGCATTGGACCTAATTTTCCCGATATTTTTTTTCAAAAATTTTGCCGGCCCGGCCCAAATCTAAAAAATTTTTTAAATAATTTTACGGCCCCAACCGGCCCGAATTTATTTAAATATAGAAATTAATAAAAGATATATGCCAATGGCGTCTAGTTTCTATAAATATAATTAAATATTTTTATTTTGCATAAAAAATTCAACATAAAATTGATAAATTTTTATATATTTAAAAAAATATCCTAGGTCCGACAGCACACGTTCGAATTTTTTTAATTAGGTTTGACCCAGCCAAACTCGGTTTTTTCTAAATAACGCGCGCGGCCTACTTTTGCAGAACTTCAATATCTATATTCAAAAATATATAATTAAAAGAAGAGAGATTAAACAAAAAAAATAAATAATATATTTAGGTTGAGGGGCTTAATGACCCATGTTTTATACATATACCTAAAACGAATTATTTCTTATTCGATATTCGATTCGATTCATATTTTACGAATACGAATATCACAATTATTCGAATCGAATTCAAATAAGGAAAGTATATTATTCGTCGGATAATTTTTTATCTATTATTTGATTAAATCGAGATTATTCGATTAAAATAATAATATTGAAAAATAATCATATACTAGTAGAAAGCCCGTCAAAAATGACGGGGAATGTGATTTTTATTTATTTTTTACGATAGATGTCATACCAGGTTCAAGCTCACAATATTAGGAAGCATCCAAATCTTATAATTTAAAAAAGTTTATCAAGCCCAGCTCAACCCTTGATAATTTGTAAAAGATATTCCCAAGTCAGGTGCAAGCTAATATTAATTTTGAGGTTCCAAGCCCAGTCCTACCCATTATAATTTTGAAAATTTTTTCCCGCTTCGGAGATAGTTAAATTTTTAATATCATCACATGAACGGGAAATATCTGATTTACCAATTAGTCTAATATGGAAAAAAACATATTAAGGGAATAAGAAGGCCTGGGCAACCACTTATTAGAGAATCATGACAAATAAAATAAAAATAACCGACTCTTATACTTTTTTTGTAATATGATCAATTAAAATTATATCTAAAAAATATGTTGTTTATTATATAGGGTTATTGTTGTTTTTCAGATAAATTTAATGTGTCTTGCATTTCTGAAATTATTTGTCAAAGAATTTGATAAGGGATATATATTTTTTTTTGTTAAGCAAAAAAAAATGCTGTCTATTTAAATTACAAAAATGCCATTAAACACTAATGAAACTTATATGCAAATTATTTTTATATTTTTTAAGATATTTTTTTTTATTGACATATAAATTTAGGATAATTTTTTTAAAAAATAATGAGGATTATTTATTATGTATTTGATAAATTTAAGAGCAAATCCTTGTTGAATTTTAATTTTTGATGGAAAAAGCGACAAAATAAATCTGGGCGGTCATCTGGAGAGGAAATAATTAATATATAATTATATATCATTTAGGGTTGTAGATGAAAGTGATGATGGATTAACAAAGCAGTGTACAAAACACATTACGTCCTGATAAAGATGCTATGCCTATGCCTTGGGATACTGGTAAAAGAAGAACGCAAAACGATATTTCTGTCAATGTCAGCATTGGTATATACATCTAAAATAGAATCATGAACGACAATGTTAACTCAACCATAAAACGGTCGTAAGTATTGTTATAAAGGCCACGACAGAACTACTGCATATATTTCCATTAATAAAGTTGATGAAATTGGCCGTACTGTACATTTAAGTTTGAACACGCAAAACGATATTTCTGTCAATGTCAGCATTGGTATCCCCTTCTGAACGACAATGTTAACTCAACCATAAAACGGTCGTAAGTATTGTTTTAAAGACCACGACAGAACTACTGCATATTTTTCCATTAATAAAGTTGATAAAATTGGCCGTACTGTACATTCAAGTTTGAACATTCCTCTAAATGTTCATGAAAGTTTCTCAGAGAATCGGATAAAGTAATATTTATATTAACTCCTAGTGAAGTGAATGATAGTACAGAATTAAATGTTTATATTTGTTAAAAAATATGCGGAGGCATAGGGATTGTGGTAGTGGTGATAGTATAATTTGGAGAACTAGGTGAAAATAAAATAAACATAGATATAAAACATAAGATAAAAAAAATAAAATAAACCTCCAGATGAGTTTATTTCAAGCGTATTTCTTTATTATTTTGTCTACCAGTAACTCTAGAACGGGTAAGGCGTTTGTTTGATCGTCATTATTTTCTTTGCTTATCTTTAATAATAAATTCATCATGTTTTAGACAAATAAAGAAATCAGGCAAAAATATAAATAAAATATTGTTGAAATTAAACAAACATTAAAATAATGTAAAACCGGTAGATGGGTCAATATTAGATGCATATTTCTAGTAGTTGGAGGGCTATCGATCTTTTTTAAATTAAAAGAATGTAAACAAGATAAAATTTTATAAAAAAAAAATTTAATTTTACAATTAAAAATATATTTTATGCGAATGTCCCGCAAAACGACCGATTGGAAATCTACCGTGTGTGTATATGAGGTCTGCATTGAGCGGGGTTTCGGCCCGCCCTCCCACGCACGGCCATCTAAGTGAGCGGGCGTATGGGCGAGTAAAAAAATTTTTAAGAATGAGCAGGTAGATAGGCGAGTTAAAAAATTTAAACTATGGGCGGGCTGGGCGGGCAGGTTAAGAAATTTAAACAATGGGCGGGCAGGTTAAGGAAATTTAAAATTTTTGTTCAAAAACAAACTAAAAAAAATAATTGTTTAAATGATCTATAACAATATTTCTTTTTTTATTGTACCAATCGTTTTTTTAAGTGAAGAACATTTACTTAACTATATTATGTAATAAACACAACAACAAAACTTTTTTCTTAGAGTAAATAAACATTTTTGTCTATTAAAAATTTCCTTTTATGGGAATATAATAAAACTTTTCTAGTGCTTCTTCCGAACGCGGGATTAGCATTGCTGGAAGATTTTTAAAACAAAGAAGAACGTGTTAGAATCCATAAAATGTCGATTCATTATTATTTTTGCATTATAATTACATATAATATTTATTTTATATTTATTTTTTTTTTCATAAATATTCAATTTGATCAAATAAATTTTCCATAATTTACATTGATTATTTTTATACTTATATTAATTTCCTAAATTATAAACTTTTTGTAGAGGTGTAATGCTGAAATATTTTTATTAGATGCTTAAAAAAATAAAAGAATGACCATAATTAAATTTTATAAGCGGGCTTGGGTTAAAATTTTTTTATAAATAATGGGCGGGTGGGTAAAAACTTTTAGACTAATGGGCGGACGGGCTGGCAGGTAAGGAATTTAGACAAATGGGCGGGGTGGGCGGGTATATATTTTTTAAAACTATGGGTGGGCTTGGCGGGCTTTTGGTCCAAAAACCCGCCCAATGCTGACTTCTTGTGTATATAACATTATAGGGATAGGCACTTATTTATCACGTATCACGTTTAAATGCATAAAAAGGAGAAGGACTCCAAAAATAAGAAATAATACCAATGACATTAATACTATAGACTGCCGATCGTAATGCTAAAATCAAATTTGAAGTGGCAAAAATTGAAGTGACTGGTGGCCATTTTGTGTTTGTATCTTTTACGAAAGAAGCATATGATAATTTCATAAATTTCAGGTATATTTTTATTATGTTTATATTTATAATATATATATTCTAATTAAACACCAATTTATTATTTACCTTATATATTATAGTATATATGAATCAAATAAAGTTCACTACTGAATATTTTACTTGAAATATTTCTGCTCTTTATTAACATTTGCAATTTATTATTTAATAATAAATATCTTTTATAAGAATTCAATTTAATATTTTTTAATTACTAAAAGATTTAAAATGGTAGTATATTGCTGAGGAAGCAAAATTTCCTTTCATAAGTATATCTCAAATTAATTGTTCTATTGTAAAAATTATTTATGGCAGATTTCCTATGAAAGATAAAATATTATTACAAAAGTGGACCCATGCTGTGAAGAGAGAGAACTTCAATGTAACAAAATATAGTAAATTATGTTCAAAGCATTTTACACCAGATTCATTTATTTCATCTGTTACAAATCATGTTCAATTAAGAGTGGGAGCAATACCATCAATTTTTAATTTTCCAAAGCATCTTCTAAAAGTAACAAAATAATGAATAATAAATTATAACATGCAGGTTTCTTAGAAGCCAGATTAATTCAAATATAAATTTTTAATTTTCCAAAGCATCTTCTAAAAGTAACAAAATAATGAATAATAAATTATAACATGCAGATTTCTTAGAAGCCAGATTAATTCAAATATACATGAATATTTTTTTTATAGAAATCAATTCTAGATTTCTTTTGTATTTTTATAATTTATGTCTTTTATGTTTTATTTTTGCTTATAATTATGTTATTCCTTTATAAATATAAACTATCCATTTCTAAATATATTTCTTTATTTAAATTTAATTCATTAAAGTATAAAAATCAATAATGTAAATATATATCATGAAAAATACAAATAATATATATTATGTTATATTTACATCAAATAAAATAATTGTATTATTATAATTAATATCGCGAAAAGAAAATATTAATCTTATAAATCAATAATAAATACAAATAATATATATATGTTATATTTATGTCTAATAAAATTAATTTATTATAACTAATAAAGTCATTAGAAATTTTCAGATAATTTGTTCTTCACCTATAAATATTTAAGTTAAATAACATATTTTTATATTACTTGGTTTATTGCCCTTGAAAAAGTACAACCTTGTTTAGTTTTTGCCTGATATTTAATTGTAATTTTTGATTTACTTTATTACCAAAATGATGCATTCTTATGTGCAGGTATCTGAAAATAAATTTTTATTAAAATCAAGTAAATATTATATATACCTTTTTATTATAAGTCTTATTATAATTTGATAATGACTTAACCCTGCCTCTTGATCAAACATATGATCTTGCAGGTCACTAAGGATATTTGTGCCTAATATTTTTGACAATATTAGACATTCTATTTTTTTAACAGCATGTCTTTTGCTTATTTCATCTACTTTTTCAAAGGCCCTGAATGAGCTCTCTGTTATTTTGCATAAATTTGACACGCTTTGGGATGGTATTATCAATCCACCATAATTCTTAATTTTTATTAATGTATAATTATTGTCGTTTGCGGAATTAAATTAGGGAATGCAAACAGATATCACATCTAACTTTCTTTTCTTCATATTCAGCAGAGTGACCTTTATTTGATTCATATATACTATAATATATAAGGTAAATAATAAATTGGTGTTTAATTAGAATATATATATACATTATAAATATAAACATAATAAAAATATATCTGAAATTTATGAAATTATCATATGGTTCTTTCGTAAAAGATACAAACACAAAATGGCCACCAGCCACTTCAATTTTTGCCACTTCAAATATATTAATAGGCAGTCTATAGTATTAATGTCATTGAATAATACAGATGCAATTACAGGTGCGGCAATTGTAATCACTTATCTTGTAGTACAACATTCACAGAGATACTTATCATCACAATGTTGGTAGAATCTTTTACCCATAATAAATGAAAACTATAGTTGTAGAACAAAAATAAGCAAGGCTATCATCAATGTTTTAGGACCTAAATCCAGGAGGTCAATTCTTGACGTTTTGAAAGATGGGCATACATATGCAATTCTAACAGATGCATCTAATAAGGAAATATTAAAATATTTCTCTTGATCCTCCGCTATTTCAACAAAATTAAGGTCGTTTCAATAAAACTATTGCATTTTTTCCCTCAAATAGTGAAAAATCCAAAGACATAGCTAGCAGATTGATTATCAATAAATTGCATGTTAGATTTCTGATCTGATAATGCCTCGGTGAATTTGGTAAAAACAGAGTGTATTTACAGAATTGAGTCAGCACAATGTTGGTTGCGATATGTTCCTAATAGCCGCCATCGATAGAATTTTAAAATTTTATAAACCTTTAAAAAAATATCTCTTAAATAAAAATTATAAAAGCTGTCCTAACATTTTGAAAATTTTTTCCAATAATGAATGGCAGGGCGCAGGGGTATATTTAGGTATTATTTCACATGTAGGAAATCTACTACACTGTAAATGTGCAGTTGCAATCAGAAGAATCTTAACAAAGATTCACAAAATTATTCTGCAGATGTGGTCATCTTTACAGTTAAAAATTGATAATAAATTTTATGGCGGGATTGCTAAACCTAATTATATTTTATTTGAGATTTAAATAATAGAACTAAATGTGTACCGTCGTTATTGAGATATTTATAAAATTCCTGGCATGACATATTATATATTTGTTTAACCATTAGTGTAAATTCATATCAACAAAGATTTATCTAGGCAAGTTCATCAATTTCTATTTCGGTGTAAGATTAATTGCACTATCGAAGCCTGATACTGATTGGCTAATTGCAGTAGGTTCATATTTTAGGAGACTAATAGCAAAGATAATTATGAGCGGATCAAACCTTTCAAAAATTTTCCAGATTTATCATATGGGCTTTGACACTAACGAGGATTGCGAAATAGCCTCTTTAAGCTCTCATATCGAAAATACTCCATCAGACGCCATAGCCTTGAGGCTATTTTTTAAAATACTTTTTATCTATCTAAATAAGTTTTTTTATCAAAGATTGATAAATGTAAAATTTAACAGACATATAAATGTAGAACCTCTCAAATTTGGGATACATATAATTTATTCCAGGTAAAGTATACAAGGTGACTCTTTTGGTTCTCTCATTTTTAGTTTAGGAATACATATTTATTAATTCTTTAAAAACTCTTTTTAATTTAATCATAAATATATATTTAGATTATGTCACTATCAGCGGACCATCTAAAAAATATTTTAGCATCAATATAATATATAGAGCTGAATTCTTTAAAAGACCTTACTCTATATAAATAAGGCTAAATCTGAAATACTTTTTAAATTCAAATCCCTTCTAAGTATTAGAGGTTTAAAATTATTAAAGAAAGTGATATAAATCTTACTAGTTTACCTATAAGCAGTTTCCCATACTATGAGGTGTTGGTGGGTAATTTAAAGGAAATACCTCCACACCAAAGTATATTCTTTTAAACATTTTAAATTATGAAATCATTATTATGAAGTTTTTAAAAATATATTAGAAAATATTCGAAAAAATTGTGAGATTTTAACTGGGGGTTTTCGTAATTACGAAATGGGAGGTTTCGAATTATATCCATGAAACCTATCTTATTATTAAATCATATTTAAATTAAATTTTATAAATAAAAATATCAATAATCGTAAAAACTAAATAAAAAATAACATGATGAATGTAATGTTATTAAGATTAAGGTTAATTTATTGTAAGGTAATTAAAAAATAAGATTAAAAAAAGGGGGGGGGGTAAAGTAGGTATAAATTATTATATTATAAAAATAATAAAAATTAAATTAAAGGAATTGATAAGGTTGGACTATCATCAAAAAAAATTTTTGGGGGACTTATCAAGCCTATTATGATATTCTAAAAGTTAAAAAATAACTATTAAGATTAAGGTTAATTAATTGTAAGGTAATTAAAAAATAAGATTAAAAAAGGGGGGGAAAGGAAGGTACAGTGGCGTAGCTACGGGGGTGGTTTTCGGGTTTGGACCCCTCCCAGAGCAAAATTTTTTTTTAGATTATACGTTCAAAAGACTTAAAAGTGATTTTATATCGATATATTTTTCTGGTTTTGATGTTTGTGGAAGGATATTATATTACTATTGTAATTATTCTGGATAGTATTATTGTAAAGTCATTGAGAATAATATACTAAATTATAATAACATATTATTGATGCACCCTGATTTTATATGTATGGACCCCCTCTAAGGAAAATTTCTAGCTACGCCACTGGGAAGGTATAAATTATTATATTGTAAAAATAATAAAAATTAAATTAAAGGAATTGATAAGTTTTTGAGAAATAGTGGTTAATAGATAATAGAGATAGAAAGAAAATAATGAGATAATTAAATTTAGTGATAAATAAATTCATTAAGGGAGGGGAAAAAAATAAAGAAAGAGTTATTTATAAGGATTGGAGATTACAAATAGGTTAGGATAAGAATATTTAAATATTTGTATATACTTGGTTATCTTCTTAATTATTGGTTATGAAAGAAAAATATGAGTATAAAAAATTGTAATGTAAGTACTGACAAAAGTTGTGAGTATGTTCAAAACAAATATACAAGTTGAGTATCTTGTAGAGATTTCATTAATGTGTAATTGATAATATGAGATGAAAATTGATAAAGTAATCTAAAAAATAAAGAAAGGATTAAGTGAAATAAAAAGTTTCATTCATATTTACAAAGCTGAGGGAATATTGTTTTTATCAATTCAAAGACGATTTTTCAAATCTCTCAATCCATGTTAGGTATGTGTACACCATCAATTCTCGAAATTCCATTCATCTGTTTGTAAAAATAAATAAATAAAATCAACAAATAAAAAAAATAAAAAAAATTACGTAATGATGACATGACGTAGCGATGACATGACGTCACGATGACGTAGTGAGGACATCGGAAAATTATAATATAGATTATTAGTAGGAATTATTCTCAATTATTCCTATTTAATAAAATTTCCTAGTGGAATAATGAAGAAATATTTTATATCTCTAAATTGTTGTTAACGGCTGTTTTTATTCGAATAACTTCTTAATACAAAATTTATTTCCGAAAATTGTTATATGATGGACGAAGAAAGTATTTATTTTTATATGCAATTTATAACACATATACAATTATAATAAACTAGTAGCCATTTCGTCAAGAATGACGGGCGAACCAGATATTTCTCCTTCGTTTGATGATGGAGAAATCATAAATTTTACTTTTTGCAAAAACTTTTTGTTTAAAAATTTGTTGTTGGTATATTTGTCTTCTACATGATACTATATATATATGCTTCTACATTATCTTACTAATAAAATTTTTTATCTTTTATCCATAGTTAGATTTTACAAAATAAATTTAATATTCTATCTTTTTTAATTTATGGTTAGATAAAATTTTTGAATTGAATCGAATCAAATAATCATTTTATTATTCGTACGAATACGAATAATGAATGGTTTAAACGAATACGAATAATGAATTGTTTGGTTTAAACGAATAATGAATGATTTGGTTTAAACGAATACGAATAATGAATTATTCGATTTAAACGAATATGAATTATTCGATTTAAACGAATACGAATAATTCCATTAT